TKKKKTKGSYWARGKTARTWAGCTGTGGCAGCTATCTTTAGTTGATTGATTGCAAAAGTTAGTCAGTTGTAGATGTGCACCCAAAGATTATTCTGAGAGTTTGTTAAAATCTATTCTGTGGCTGCATGAGAGTTGTTGCAAATAAACACACTTACATACACAGGAAAAATCACAACTATCTACATTTTGCAGGCAAGAATTGATCCCTATGTTTGATTATTTATCACTTTTTGGTCTTCTTGCTTCATAGATTTAAKTGATAGATAGTAAGTTCAACACAGATATTTAAAATAGGACTCTAGACTTGAAGTGGCCAATCCATGTGTGAAAATGACGACTCGTGCTCCCTGAAACCCTCTCTCACTAATTGAACCAGATGAATCCTGACAYTGCCACCTTAGGAAGAAGTAAAAAAAAACCCACTGATGGAATAACCTGGTCATTCAGCTSACCTCATTCTTTGAGCTGAACCTAAACCAGACCCCCCCACACACACCTGTACAGTAGGCACTGGGCATTATGGACACATCACTGCAGTCGCCTCTCTTCTTACTCTGATGCTCCCATTACTTTGGAACAAGGTCAATCTGGACTCATCAGACCACCTGACCTCCATCCATTACATGACTTTTAACCCAGTTTTARTAGTTTGARCAATTTCCTTGTGATTCTCCACTTTTCCCTGCTGCATCCCAATAATTTTTGAAGTAGATGAACGTCTTTTCCATGATYACAGGATGTGTCTTTTAACTAGGGATGGGGCAGATCCGATCCAGTATTGGTATTGGGTTCCGATACCAACCTAATTATTGGAACAGCATTTTCTGATCCAACATGGGAGATTTCCGATGCATGAGCAGCTTGAACAGAGAGGCGAGTCTCACTGAGAGATGGGAATCCATTCCACAGTTTGCTGCCAGCTAGCAGGTGAGCAGATCTGTGGACAACCCAACGTTTCACCACAACATGATCCCGTGTGTTTAAAAGTAGAGACTTAAATTATACACCAGTTTTTAAACCGTACTGTGTGGATCAGTGCATCTCTACCATCAACATGGTTGTTTAACAAATAAGAAGCTGCTCACTACATCACTTAGTGTTAAGTAACTTGTTGTCTGTTGAAACATAATCATCCATGCAGTAATTACCCAATCCTTTTACTAGTTACTGTAAATCCAGGTGGTGACCTTTATTTTGTCCGGGCAGTGTAATAATAAAAAATAGAGCAATATTTGACTCCTAACAGAGTGAAAGACTTTCTGCTACAAACAGGTCTTCACATACCTTCATCTCCTCAAGGTTGGCTGTGAGGACTCCTGGTTTACGGTTAGACGTGGAGTTTGGACGAGCTTGAGGCTGAGGGGGAGGTGGGGTCCCAGTGGGCAAAGACACCATGATGGAAGCGGGCAGCTTACCAATGCCATTATTCTGACCCTCGGCCAAGGATCTAAAGGGAGACAGAAATCAATGTTAAATCAGGGAAATTTACAGAACTTCTGCACCACAAGAAGAAAAGGAGGCAAGAAAAGCAGCGAAGATYAGAAAAGCCATTCATGCTGTGTCTTCTCAACCAGCTAACAAACACAAAGTGCAGCAAYGCAGTTTAAACCGTTCTGAACACAGCAGCTGAGGACACCATCCTGTCAGTTCTTCATACGTTCAGACACAAGGTTGTCATTAGAAAGCAGTTATTGGCCCTGCGAGGAAAATACTTGGCTTGGATTTGGGGCATTTTGATGAGATCAAGCCAAACCAGATTAGAGGAAAAATAAATGAAGCCCAGAAAAACATATTAGTGATGAATGCCTGAAAGAAATATATTCATAAATCACTGTTTCTCAGAGCAATGTTTGCAGAAACAAAGTACCTTTTTTTTTGGCGATTCAGTACTTATTCTTACAGAAAGAAAAATAATAAATCTTATATGGTGGATGTTTTGTTTTGCAGACATACTTGAGGGGAGCTGGTAGTATGGTCTGATAGTTGTAGTGCTGCTGCTGCTGCTGGCTGAGGATCTGCAGCTGGAGGAACAGCTGCTGCTGCTGCAGCAGTCGAGCGTACGATGAGTCCATGGGTACTTCACTGGGCTCCTGCTTCTGGTCCGGAGGAACGTACTGGTGGTATTTGAGCTTCTTCACCCTCGACTTTGACTCCTTGCTCTTCTTGCTGCGGCTCTTCTCTGAGGAAGATTTGGGCTGGCTTTGCTGTTGTGGAAGGACACAGAGAAAAGATTACTTTATATTGTAAATACTGATTGAAATATTGTGATATAGGATTTTTTTTTCTTCTTCTGCTTACTGTCATTTTATGAGATTTCTGATTCTTTTTTGTTGTATTGAAATTTTTGTTTTTAATCGAAATGAATACAATTTTAGAGACTTACATTTAATCTTAGACACGTTTCACCTTGTTTTTCTTTTTTAATTCAAGGCTCAGGCTTTAAAGTGCCCGTGACATGCATATTCTTCAAATACAAAAAGTCAAAGAAAACATATTTATATGTAAGGAACTTGGCATAAAACATACAATTTTTACCCATTTTTCCACATAAMTGGCATATTTTCTTTCAGCTTGGTTCAGCAAAAGTGAAACAGGAAGTGACATCAAAGTGTAACTCTTTAAGTAAAAAAAAAAAAACTCCTCGGTCTTTGTTTTTTGAAACAATATTATTTGAACTCTGACTCTTCTTCATCTCTATGATGGTGACTCAAAATAAATTGAAGAAACATCAAATTCTTCTCTACAGTCTGTGTTCTTAGCCATTTTAGTAACACTCTGTTCACGTGCAGACATTCCCCTTTGACATCACTTCCTGTAACTTCACATGCAAATATCTCAACAACTGTTCATCTGAGCAGCATAAAATTTGATTTGTAATATGTTATTAGTGTTGTCTTTCCAAAAACGCATTCATATTTATTACAAAAAAATGTATGTCTCAGGCACTTAAATTGTTAAACCTGATGGCTTCTACCTGCATAAGCATAGTGCAGGGCTATTCAACTAAATTGCTCCGGGGGCCACGGTTACTGCAGGTCAACAGCTGAGGGGCCGAACATCCAGCAATTAAAGTTATTATGTAAATAAACCAAGTATTACAAATATCTGTTACCTTTGAATTAGTTTATTTTGCTGCATTTAATCATGAATACAACATACAGAACCCTACAAAAGTAGTGATAATTAAACATTATCAAAAACAAAAATAACACATTATGCCTCCTATTAGACACAAACAATATTTTGACAGCTCTGACTTGACAAATATTTAAACCAATTTTATTTTCACTTTTATCATTTTAACTTTTAACTAACAGTTTTAACTGTCTTGAGTGTTTATAGAAATAGTTTTTACCAGCTTCTAGCCAAGATTCTGACGTTTCTGTAGATACCAAACATGTCTATGTTTAAAGAAAAGAAAAATTAGAGTAATTAAAGTAGAAAACCAGGGGTGTGGGCTTAAGAGATGAATAAACCATTTGGCGTGTCGAACTTTGGTCACTCACGGGCCGGATATCTACACAAATGCTGTCAGAATGTATCGTTCTGTTTGGAAAGCAGATGGAAACATGTAGCATGTGTGCACACACGATACACGTGGATTTTATTTTGAAATCAGAACTTTCAGAAAGCCAACAGACAGTGTCAACATAGATGTCAAAAGCTTTTATATCATTGTTTTCAGCTGTGTTTGGAGTTTGTCTTTCACAGAATTAATTATTTTTTGCTGTGACTTCCACACTTATCATTGAATTTATCGCGCTATCTGCTTCCTGCACGTCTGTCAGACTGGAGCGGAGCAGAGATAATGTAAACTGGACTTGAAACACACAGCTGCGACCTGCGCAGCGGAGCAGAGTGGAGACAGAATGCAAGTAATGTAAATTAGGGGTGACTGATGCTGCACAGCCAGGAATAACCAAAAAATTAGAGTAATTAAAGTAGAAAACCAGGGGTGTGGGCTTAAGAGATGAATAAACCATTTGGCGGGCTGAACTTTGGTCACTCACGGGCCGGATATGGCTTGCGGGCCGCCAATTGAATAGCCCTGGCATAGTGAGTCTCAGACTGAAGGACAACAGATGGGGATTAAAATGTACTGATAAGTACATTGTCTATGTACAATGTCTGTGTTTCCACACAAGACATTGTGGCATTTCTACCATTCTGTTCTCACCATCATACACATGTACAGCCAAACTTAGAGTCCAGTTTTTGTCTATACTGAGCACGACTGGAGGTTTTGTCAAATGATGCTGCGCTTTAAGAAGAAAACCATTTTATATGAACAGAGCGTCGTAAGATCTATAAAAAAAAGATGTGTTTTTACATACCGTAAGTAAAACACAAACGCCACTCTTTTATGCAACAAAGAAAATGTACAACAAAAAGAGCTTTTTGGACTTGATTATGCGTTGGTTATGGTGAAAAGTCAAAGCACCCGCCCTCCTCTGCACAACATATACACCTCAAACAGCTGGTGACAAAAGGTGAAGCGTTAAAAGGCAGCTTCCCACCTCCCTGATGGTCTGCATGTTGATGTAAACATTTGACCTTTAATAAGATTCTCTCTCTGCAGAATCCAGACAGCAATGCTGTTTGTGGCCATTCTACATCACCACTACCCATAATGAATAACTGAAAGGACTTTTTATATATTTGCTAGATTGATAAAAACTTTTTTGTTGTTAAAATATGAAAAAAAATTGAGTATTAATTTGAGTATTTATTTTTTAATTTTACTTTTTAGATTGTTTTTGTTGTATGATGTTCATCACTGATGTTAAAAAGTGAACTATGTTATAAATGAACATCCGCAGACTGTTTGCGACTTGAGGAAATTTTTCTTTTAAGTAGTAGTTGTTTTTTTTTCAAATGAAATTTATATTTAAAAGAAAAAAGAATAAGAAGAAAGAGAAAGAAATTTTTTTTTGCTTGATGACCTTAAGAATGCTGGAACAACTTATTTATTTAGTAGAATACAAAAAGTCTTTTTAAAATGAGATATGAACAAAATATTGGTTAAGATTTGTATTTGTGTTGTGATGCTGTTTGTTGATTATTTGAAATTATATTGTGTATTGAGTTTTATTACTCGTATGTTGTACATTTTTTTAGATACATATATATTTTTGACTGGGGGCAGATGTTATAAGATTTTATTCTTCTTTCTGCTCCTTTTCATTTGACTACGTTGTGATTGTCTTTTTGACACAACAATGTTGTATTATTATTTTTTGTTCTTTTATTAATTGTTTGTTTTATAATTTGTTTATTGAATGAATTAAAGTTCTAAACTAACTAAATTAACTGAACACATCTCTTTTAATAAGAGTATAAGTCAAGTTAGCCTGGGTTTTATTGGAAAGCAGCAGTGGCTCTCATAAGAAAAGAGGAATGTTGGGCTTACTTTCACCAGAGTTGGTCCTGGTTTTGGTGGAGCAGATGGCTGAGTAAAGGGGAGAGCTGGACAGTTTGGAGGCTGCTCATTGGTGGAAATCCATTTTGTACAGTCTGTTGTTGGGAGAACCTGAAATGAAAGAAAACATGCTGGGATTATTAGAATCAACTCATCATCACTATTGTTATTATTATTATTATTCAGGCAGGTAAATCCAGTGGTGTCCTGTCTGACCTGCAGTATGGTGGTGGGTATGGGTGCTGCGCTCGGTGAAGGAGTTTCTGGCACTTTGCTTTCTGCAGGTGAGGAGGCAGATCCTTGGGACTCCTGGCTGGCTGGTTGCTCTGGCGACAGGGCCTCACAGCTGTCTTCATCCAAAACCTTGGGATAATTCACTTGGCCCACTACAGACAAGCATCAAGTTTAAATTTTTTTTTAAAGTTTATCCCCCCTCTTCAAGCAGGAAGAAAATACATTTGATTTATTATCCTGCCTGACTGATTAAAGACATGATTTTAAACATTAATCAGGAGAATTACGGTGGTCGTTARCACAGATCTCCCACCTATGATGGCCTGTTTGAGGCTGGAATCCACTGGAATGATGTTCTTCTCCACCAGCTCCATGGGGCCGGGTCTTTGGGCGATCTTTTCATTCAGGTTGTCAGCTAGCCGGGCCCTCTTCAGCTTCATCTGAGTGGCCTGCAGTGAGGGCTCTGCTCCAGTCTCTAGGGGTCGGGTAAACATGACATGCTGTCAAAAAGATACACCTTGTTCGCAGAGGAGCGTCATTTTTATTACATAAAGCATGTATTCAGTTAGAGTCCTGTTTTGTTTAAACATAGCTTGAACATGTAATGGGGACACTCTATTCTACTGTGTTAAACTTCCACAGGAAACTAAGTGGATGAAAGAAGAAAAAGAAACAAACCTTGCAGGATGTGCATCCTGACCAGCTCGGCTCGCTCTGGACGACTGCGGATCTTGTGCTTGAGGAAATTCTCAGTCTGCAAAGAAAAACAGATGTCAATCAGAACATTTTTTACATTTTTCTCTAACCTTTTCAAACCAACACAAGAATTTAAAGTGACATTATAAATACCTTCATCTTAAAACACTTTATTTTGGGGAAACTATTAAAAACATATTTGTGAGGTACGCTGTCCGGTCCATGCATAAGAGTTTCAACATATTTCCTGTTTGACAATTCCTGACTTTTCCAGACTTAAACTTCCAGATTGATTTATAATTCCCTGCCATTTCTGAAATCCAAGTACAAAGATTTACTTTATATGTACAGAAGAGTGTACAAGAATGCTCACTATGTGTAGAAAATATGCAACATACAGCAAAAATATTTAAATTTTATACTTCTTTTTTTTGGACTCTGCAGAACCAGATACTGATATAACATTATGGCTGCATTAAAACTTTTGCAGAGTGCTTTAGGATGGGTTTACTGTCGTGTGCAGGTTAACACACGTCAACAGCATAATGAAATGCTTAGGGTGAGAAGAACAGCTAAACTCGCTATAAAAACAACAAGTACAAAATAAAAATTAAAATATAATATTTACAAAGTACAAAAATAATAAGATGAACAATACAGTAAAACCTAATGGTGCAGGCAGGGTAAATAATGTATAAGTAGAGTATTTGGGCGGCTGTGGCGAACCGGTTAGGGGAGTTGTCCTGTAACTAGTGGGTTGCCGGTTCAATCCCTTGTTCCATCTGTCTCAGTCGTGTCCTTGGGCAAGATCGGTGTGTGAATAAAAAACACTTTGCTGTTTGAGCTACTTAAAAAAAAAGATCAATTCTGGGGGGAAAACGTTCATCATACCTTTTCAAAATAGTAAAAATAAATCCTATAAACGTTAATATTCTTGAGTGTGTAGAAAATGACGTTTTTTCAGGTTGTGCACTTTGTCTTGATAACTAGTTTAGCTTTTCACTAAAAAACTTTCGTTTCTTACCCGGGCTCTTTCCAGGCTGCGGATCTGACCGTGGAAAGCGGCTGGACTCTTCAGAGCTGCAACACAACAACTCCATTCAGCCACAAGTCTAAGGACACCTTTGATTTGTCACAATGTTGCACAGATAAACAGTACAGAATATAATAACTCAGCTAACACCATGAAGCAGTTTGTTATCGTTTACAGACCACATCAGGTGTTCAGTGGGTGATGGACAGCGGGCCGTGTGCTTACTCACGTGGCATGATGCCCTGATCCACCAGCTGCTCCCGGGTTCGCCTTTGTTGGAGCCTCAACTGCAAAACTGAAAGCAAAAAGCAAAAACAATAATCCTGATTTAAAAAAGCAGCGACATTTTTAATGTTAAGTCTAGGACAAAACTATTTAAATTATTCAAGTTTCACCACTGTAGCATACAAACAAATGTATTTCAAACAGCACATCACAAAACTTTAAGCTCATTTAAAAAGTACCACAGTTCTGAGAAGAATTTTCAAGTCTACAGGTTATTTTTAAACTTTCAGACAGCATTAAATAAAACAAACTTTAAATGGAATGGGAAACTGGCAGAGCACTTTGGTAAATAAACTAGAAGATATTTTTTTAAAAAAAATTGCATATTACTGCTTATTGCAATGACAATATCAGTTGTGATGTCATCACTTTCATCCAAACCAGGTGTGGGCATCAAGGAGTGCATTCATCAAATTGATCAAATTATTAGCAAGCAGAACATTAATGCATAATTTAATACTGCAGACCTCTGCCTTACTTATATTTCACCCACTGATTTTCAGATGATAACTWTTGAAAATATATTGCAAATATGATCTGTTAACAAAAAGGTTTTTAATTTCCAACTGCACCTTTAAAGCCAACACAAGAACGTATTTCATATAGCTCACTTTCTATACCTCTCTCCAAAAACTGGTCCTTAATGACAAGACAAGACAAGACAAGACAAGACAAGACAAGACAAGACAAGACAAGACAAGACAAGTCATACTTCGTACAATAGTGCAACGACATTGTGGTGTCGTCCCACTATGGTGCCCATACTAGAATACAAAGCAAAGAAGATAATATAAATATGATGAAAAGTTAAAGTGACTGACACGTTAAAGATAAAAATGAAATAAAATAAAAATAAAACAATAATAGTATAATCTAGGGTCTGTGGGCATTCAGTTGGGTTATTGTCCTGCTGTAAAAGCTGTTCCYAAGTCTGTTGGTCCATGATTTCAGCACCCTGAATTAGGGTTGGGCATAATTGTATTGTGTGCAATTAATCGTCAGAAAAACAATCGATTATTTTTTGGCACTTGACGATTAATACAGTATGATTAATGAAACCAGGCAGACCGACTGGAGATTACTCTGGTCAGTCTGCTTGGTGCTCCTCTCCGCTTCAAAAATGATGAACATTAAAATAAATTCTGTAATTTATTTATCAACACAATTTAAAATTTGATGTATGGCCTGAAATCTGTAATTTTCACACAATTTGAAACAATTTTTACAAAGATCAAATCTTTTCCACTAAATTGGTCATGTGAGTATGAAATAAGGAAGTCCAGGGACTCCAGGGGATTAATCGTCAAATTAATCGTTATCTGATAAATACCACAATTAATCGTGATTAATTTTTTTTGCCAATATTGCCCAACCGTACCCTGAATCTCCTGCCGGTGGGCAGCAGCTCAAACACCCGGTGTCCTGGGTGTGTTTTGCCTTTTAGGATGTTGTATGCCCACGAGACAGCGGGTTTTGTAGAAGTGTTCCAGGGATGGGAGTGTGTCGCCAATGATTTTCTGGGCGATGTTAACAACCTTTTGTAAGGCCTTCTTGTGTGCCATGATGCAGCTTGAAAACCACACAGATGCAATGAGGGAGCACACTCTCAACAGAGCAGCGATAAAAGACAGTCAATAGCTCCTTCCTTAGTTTCATCCTCCTAAGGATCCTTAAAAAATGAAGACGTTGCTGAGCCTTCTTCACTACTGTTGTAGTGTTAGAGCTCCACCGGAGATCTTCGTCCAGTTGCACGCCCAGAACTTGATGTTGGGCACCCTCTTCACACACTCTCCCCTGATGTGAAGTGGCTGCAGGTCAGACTTCCTCCTCCTGAAATCACTGATCGTCTCTTTCGTCTTAGAAGAGTTGAGGACCAAGTTGTTGTCTGTACACCATCCCACCAGCCTCTGAACCWCATGGCTGTATGCTGTATTAACAGTCTTTTCAGACAGCAACATCAGTATCCCCTACCTGTCAGTGGTGAGCAACAACATTTTGTGTATCTTTTAGCCAACTATCTCATAAACTTGTAGTTGGATTTCAATGAAACTTTCAGAAAGGAAATCATTTGATGTACATCAACAAGCCATTACCTTTTGATGTCACAACAGTTCAAGACAGTCAAAGCAGCAAATCAAACATTGCACACAAAAATGAACACGACTGAGCCAAATTTACTGATACTTATCAGAAATTTAAAGTGGTAGCTGAGAGTCATCCTCAACACCATAAAATCACTTTTTATTAGCAAAACTTAATGGAATTATTACAACTTGATATTTTGACAGTAAAATAATTATTTGAAATTTTATTGGCCTTTTACCCAAAGGCAGCACAGCCCACACTTTACACACAACCAACATACAGTGGGGAGAACAAGAATTTGATACATTGTTGATTTTTCAGGTTTTTCCACTTGCAAAGCTTGTAGATGACTGTAATTTTTATCATAGGTACTCTTCAACTGTGAGTGATGGAATCTAAAACAAAAATCCAGAAAAATACAATGTATGATTTTTTAAATAATTAATTTCCATTTTATTGTGTGAAATAAGTATTTGAAACACCAGAAAAATGAAACTTAATATTTGGTACAGAAACCTTTGTTTGCAACAGAGATCAGACGTTTCCTGTAGTTCTTGACCAGGTTTGCACACACTGCAGCAGGGATTTTGGCCCACTCCTCCATACAGATCTCCTCCAGAGCCTTCAGGTTTCGGGGCTGTCGCTGGGCCACACGGACTTTAAGCTCCCTCCAAAGATTTTCTGTTGGATTCAGGTCTGGAGACTGGCTAGGCCACTCCAGGACCTTAAGATGTTTCCTACGGAGCCACTCTTTAGTTGCCCTGGCTGCGTGTTTTGGG